ACTGTATATGAATCTGGTATAATTTATTGCCACCAATGGTGTCCATACAATCATGTATGTTTGTATGCATGTATATGGACTGATAAATAGGCAGAAATGTCATGTTATACCATTCAAAAATGATTTTTAAGATGTATTATTTTATTCCGCAAAGATGCATTCAATTGACAGAATATTTTTTGAATGTCTTTACTGTGATTTTCGATTTCAAATAAATGCTCTTATTTTAAACTTTCTATTCATCAAAGAATCCTAAGGAAAAAAAATATCAACACAAATTCAGCATATTAGAATGATTTCTGAAGGATCATGTGACACTGAAAGCTGTAGTAATGATGTTGAAAATGCAGCTTTGCCATCACAGGAATATTACATTTTAAACTACATTCAAATAGAAAAGTCATATTTTTTTTCTAGAACAGTCAAAACTTTGTCAAACAAGGTGTCTCATTAATAAAGAGGAACAATCTGAGGCCTACTTGAACCTTAGATCGGGGTATATAAGCCAACAACAAAAAAATCTTCAGAAGCTGCGGCTGTAGATCTGTGAGAGGGAAATAAGTTATAAAACTGAAATGTTTATATTCAACTGAACTGAGCAACCTTTATGGAAATTTCTAAATAAAATTTTAGGTCCAGTGCTTGAAAGTTGGCATATACTGCAAAAGGCATGGCATTTCAGAACAGATATAGTCATTTTGATGGATATCTGTTACTCATCGCTTAAAGAACACACACACATTTGTTTTTCTACAAGAGTTTCAGATGACTTCTATAAATGTTCTATACTGAGGTAATGATATATTTGTATCCTTTAACCCTCAGGTGCTCTTTGGTCATTTCTGACCGAAAAATGTTCTGTTTTGAAATTTTTAAAAATCACAGCTTCATCGGAATGTTACGAAACTTGGTGACTTTTATGGCATTGGGTATGTGAACACAAAAACAAATTGAGGTCATGATCCGAGCAGGCTAAGTGGTCGTAAAAAAAATAGTCACACTTGTGCTCTTCGGTCAAAAATGACCGACCATAGGAAATGAATGGGAAATTCACAAAAACACAAAAACTTTGAGAATTTTTGTGTGTACAATCTACAAATTGGCCACGATGCAGAAAAAAAGTGCTCAGCATTGAAGGGGTGACACTGTAAAACATCAAGAGTGCAAAACAGACATACCCACCCCTACGCACACACATACACACACACTTTTATACACAAAAACACCAATAAATTGTGATTAAAGAAATCTGTTTTGAATATTTAAAAATCACAGCTTCTTCAGAAAATTACAAAACTTGGTGACTTTTATGGCATTGGGTATGTGAACACACAAAAAAATTGAGGTCATGATTCGAGCAGTTTAAGTGGTCGTAAAAAAATGAGTCACACTTTTGCTCTTCTGTCAAAAATGACAACCCATAGGAAATGAATGGGAAATTGATACAAAAAAAAAATTCTCTGAATTTTTGTATGTACAATCTACAAATCGGCCACAATTCTAAAAAAAAAAGTACACCACAAGAAAGGGGTGACACTCTACAACATCTAGAGTGCAAAACAGACACAGCCACCAACACACACACACACACATACAAACACACTTTTATACACATACACACCAATAAATTTTGATTACAAAAAGTATGTTTTGAATTTTTAAAAATCACAGCTTCATCGCGATGTTGCGAAACTTGGTGACTTTTATGGCATTATGTATGTGAACACACAAAAAAAATTGAGGTCATGATCTGAGCATGCTAAGTGGTCTTAAAAAAAATAGTCACACTTGTGGTCTTTGGTCAAAAATGACCCCATAGGAAATGAATGGGAAATTGTAAAAAAAAAAAAAAAAAAAAAAAAAAAAATAATTGTGAATATTTGTTTTTTGTCATTTTTTTTATAAGAAATAGTTTTTGAGATTGTTTCAACTATATATACAAATCCACCAACAACAACAACAAAAATGTGTTCATAAACAGCTGGGGAATTCACATGCCTCTCAATAGAGAGCTGTACATGCCATCAAGTGGTTACACCATGATTCTACGCTTTTTCTCTATACTGTAACCAGATGGTGCTAATTTTCTTCAAAAAATATTTTTTTTTCTGATGGCCTAGACTCTATATTAAACTAAAATACTGCATTAATATTTTTTTGAAGAAAATAATATATATATAGAAAATAATATTTTTCTATGGCAAAAATAAACTTTAAAAAAAAATATTGCATAAATATTAATAAATTCATTTAAATTGTCTCAAAATACTAAATTAAAAAGAATAAATATTATAGAACAAAAATAAATTGCATTGGTTTTACTGGGATGGAGAAAGTTTCATTTTTAGGTGTCCGGTCACTTTTGACCGGGAAGATAACAAGTGTGACTCCGAAACGAAGAGCACCTGAGGGTTAAACCGACAGCTAGACCTCATTTTTACATTTCAATTAAAACATTATTTACCACCTTCATTAGGCCATCTACATGTAGCTGATTTCATATTTTACTATAGGCAATACCTGATGCACACATGCACCTCTGAGGGTGCTATTTGTGTTTCACTGCAGCCACTGTGATGTAAAAACCTGAATTTATCAATTTCTGACTCTGAGCTATATGCACATCGGCATAAATCGCATCTGAACTGCACTCCATTGCTCTGATGTGTTACTCTCAGCAGAGCACTAAAAGTGACCAATCACCATGAAATCAAAATGGACAATTCTTGTTTTTATGGAACATTGCAGTATTTATTATAAATGAGTTATCCATGCACATCATTATTTTTAAATTTATGTGCCCTCATAATCTTTAATCAAAATGACGTCCACTCCCTCTTGCAATGATCCCCTTCTCTGATGACATGTTTACTGGTGAGAGGGCGGGACAACCTGTCACTCACAAGACCACAACTACAACCATCCAACAATCCAATCAATCAATCGAAATTAATCAAAGTCCCATCCTAGATTTATTTATTTTTTGTTCAAGAGCCATATCGCTTTGAGCTAAAACATAAAGTCACACCCAAGCAACACACATCACCTTATCTTACATATACTATTAACATTAAAACGTTAAATTATATTACTGCGGTCATTTACACAGCCAGTAATTATGTGAATAACTGCAGTCTGGTTTTGCTCCTTGTCACACGCTGAAATGGCTGTAGTTAAATTGATTAACGGTTTCCTTCTAACCACAGACAGTGGACATGTTTCCGTGCCTGAGCTTGTAAATTTAAGCGCATTGTTGGATGCTATTGATCAGTCTATTCTATTTGACAGGATATTTTAGGAAGTCTGGGACTCTGATAGTGTTTTTGTTTTGTTTTTCTTAAAGAATTCTAGACCACGGGTCTTCTCACATTATTCTGCGTTGAGTTGAAATTGGTGAGGAATGAATAAGGGTAATACGAAGGAATTTAGTGGAGTTGAGTCGTATATTTAATTTCCTGTGTCAATATGTGATTTTAGAAAAAGTAGAGTTGTCCGCTCAACTGTAAAAGTTTGCTGTTAGGGTGGATTTTTACACTGTCGCCACTGATATGAGTTTATTGGTATTCTTCAGAACCTTCAGGCCCACTTTGAGAGCTGAGAGTCCCAGCAGAGTTAATTAGGCTTTATATTGCTTACTGAAGCAGCGAATCTGTGGTTACACATATCAGAACCAGCTCCACGCTCAACAGCACACTTCCATCACAAGGCACGCCAGCACACTAAATCCATCAAGGATTTCCAAAGCCGATAACTGCTGAGGATTCATCCACTGAGCCACGTTTGAAGGACGTTACAGGAGAAAAAAGAGGGTTATTAATAATTCACATATACACAATATGAAAAGAACAGAAATTAAATTCAAGTGGTCTGCTTTTGGGCCTGAAGAACAGCAGTGCATATGCTCTTTGTGTTTGCTCATTAATTTGCTGGACTGGTTAAGGTTTTGATCCAAAAACACATAATAAATTGCAATTAAATGACAGCAGAAGGATAATTATGCATGCATGAATGCCCACAGAATTTTTCTTTCAGGTTAAGCAAAATTGCCAAAGTTTGTGAAGCTAGTTTTCATCAAATCTGTAAAAGATAACCAAAAGGTTTTTTTTTTTTTTTTGAAGCACTGGATTGCAATTAAACTAATTAAACTGCTTTGAATTGTGTACTTATTTTTTCTGTACAGTACATCGTATTTCTACATGTTTTCATTTTTAATGAGAATCGTCATTATTTAACTAACTTTTTTTTTTTTTTGCATTACAATATAGCTCTCATAGCCCTGCCCAAAAAAGTCAGTCTATAAGTAAAACAAACTCTGATTGACATATCAGTCAAACAACTCTATGAACCCAACCTTTTGTAGTCAAAGTTCTGGCAGTGAGACCTATACATAAACATTATCATTACATTTAAAGTAGCTATAACATGATTTGCAGCAGTACATGCTTTTACGAGGCCTTTTTTAGACTGGGTTTTGTTATATTTCCGTTTTTTCCCACAAAAAGTCTCTAAAAAAATGTGGCCCTTACAAGTAGGCTATAGCCAAACCAGAGAGAGAGAGAGAGAGAGAGAGAGAGAGAGAGAGAGAATTTTAGGAATTTGTTGCATGTGTCCTGCATCACACAAACTACTAAACAGACAAGTATTTTATGATCTATAAAAAAAAAAACATTTTTTTTTTAATCCTGGTGAGCTAGTTTAACTTGTAATTCGTACATTTACGCGAATAGGGCTTAGTTAAATGTACAATTACGAATTAATGACTGAGAGGACGCAAAGGGCGTTTTGAATGCCATATTTAAATGCGTATGGTTATTGCGCTCGCGAATGACTTTGCAAATCAATTACCATGTCCCCATTTCTGTATGGGTTCAGGCAAGCAGCAAGCAGGATGAGCCCACAATAAAATAAGGTGAAATCACCGTGCTGTCAAACAGTGTGACTGGTGCGAAAGCGAGCGTATACTGCCTCTGTGCGTCTCGCGCTCTCTCTGCTCCACAAACACCGATCGCGCGCTCAGAGCCAAACTAGAGAGCGCGAGACCTGGCAGCGGAGAGACATCGGGGAGGGAGAAAGGGAGTGTGCTGGTTTATGTAGAGGAAGAGAGAGAGAGAGAGAGAGAGAGAGAGAGAGAGAGAGAGAGAGAGAGAGAGAGAGAGAGAGAGAGAGAGAGAGAGAGAGAGAGAGAGAGAGAGGTTGGGAAAAGACTACCACCTCTATCCATCAGCCGAGCATCCTGCGGGAGTCACATCGTGCGCGCGAGCGGTCGGTGCTGCATTTCTGTCCGCCCGAACAATTGGATCATAAAACAGCGTAGGATGTGACAGAGGGACGCAAATAAAAACTAAACTATAATTTTTCCTACCCCAAACACGCTGGCTATTAATTTATTATTTTGTTCTTTCAGTTGGGTTGTTGTTTGTGCTTTTCCTCATTAATGTGCGGATTTTTCGGCGAACACTTTCAAAGTGATGTCAGGAGGAAATGTCATAAATGTAGCTGAATGAATGAAAAGTTTAAAGATTTTTCATGGGTAAGTAACAAAAAAACTCAACTGTTGAAAATTGGTTTGCTGTGTTTTGTACTAGTACATTTATTTCATTATTTTTATGTTGTATTATTTTTTTCTATGGGATTCATTAGTATTTGGGCGCAGCTGTGGATAACCGCGGTTGAAGTGTTAACAGTGCAAATCTTGATGCTCGTAAAGTAAGAACTACAGGACTGTCCGTATAGCGTCCGATATTTCATGGCGTTTTATTGTTTTGCATTAAGCTCAACAGGTTCGCATCTGTTTCAAACTGCTGTGCTGAAGCCAGGGTTCGGTGTCTCGAGCAGAAATCGTGCCTTACCCTTTGGAAACTGTCTTACATGAGCTGAGAATGAATAGTTTTGCAATCAGCTTTCTTTACAAGTTATCATGATGTCTGTACTCTATAATATTTGCTGCCACTGTAAAAGCAATCTTTTAAAATATGTTAGTAATTTTCTTTATTATATAAATGCATGTAAGAATACATGTGTGCAAAACATGGTCTATAAATGATGCCTGGTAAAAAAATAGACAACTATTTTGTTTCTTTGTTTTGGTGGAGAAATTGTAATTCTAACAAATAAGCTTAAGGTTTGAGTTTTTTGTTTTGTTTCGTTTTTTTTCCCCTTCTTTTCCATTGCAACTGTCTTCCCTATCTTTCCTTGTGTTCCATTTCCCCTTTTTTACATACTTCTATTTACTGTACCCTACTTGATTGCTTCCCTTTTACCTCTGCCACTCAATTCTGCTGGTTTCCTGTTCACTCTTGCCATATTTTCACTCCCATTTCACGTCTTACTCTTTCCCACTGGAACTCTCCTCTTCCTGTCCTCCCACATTTGCCAATCTCTCACTCTCTTCTATATTCCCATCTCCCTCTCTCTCTTTATGTAGATGGGGTCTAATCTAAAGTCAAGCTGGTTGTGAAGGTGTTTGATCTGGTCCCCTCGACCCCAGCCGGAGTCCCCATGGCTGCTGGAGTGGCAGCCTGGCTCCCGTTCGCTCGGGCGGCGGCCATAGGATGGATGCCCGTGGCCAACCTGCCCATGCCTGTCGCACCGACCAATAAGAACAAGCGACAGGATGAGCTTATCATCCTCAACGTCAGTGGCCGACGCTTCCAGACCTGGCGGAACACTCTAGACCGTTACCCTGATACTCTCCTTGGGAGCTCCGAAAAAGAGTTCTTCTTCAATGAGGAGACTAGGGAGTATTTCTTTGACCGAGATCCGGATTCGTTCAGAAGTATTCTTAACTTCTACCGCACAGGGAAGCTGCACTACCCACGCTACGAGTGCATCTCTGCCTACGACGAGGAGCTGGCGTTCTTTGGAATCATTCCCGAGATCATCAGCGACTGCTGTTATGAAGAGTATAAGGATCGCAAGAGGGAGAACACGGAACGTCTTATGGATGACCTTGAGGACAACAAAGACAATAAACCTCCCAACATGACTTTCCGCGAGACCATGTGGAGGGCTTTCGAGAACCCACACACTAGCACCATGGCACTGGTTTTCTACTATGTAACCGGATTCTTCATCGCCATATCCGTCATCACCAACGTGGTTGAGACGGTTCCTTGTGGGTCCACGCCGAATCAGAGAGACATCCCTTGCGGGGAGCGCTACACAGAAGCATTTTTCTGCATGGACACGGCTTGCGTAATGATCTTCACGGTGGAGTATCTGATGCGACTGTTTGCGGCACCCAGCAGGTACCGCTTCATGAGAAGCGTGATGAGCATTATCGATGTAGTAGCCATCTTGCCGTATTATATTGGGCTTGTCATGACCAACAATGAGGACGTGAGCGGAGCCTTCGTCACGCTACGGGTGTTCCGCGTCTTCAGGATCTTTAAATTCTCCCGCCACTCCCAGGGTCTCCGAATCCTTGGCTACACGTTAAAGAGCTGTGCGTCTGAGCTTGGCTTCCTCCTCTTCTCCCTCACCATGGCCATCATCATATTTGCCACAGTCATGTTCTACGCTGAGAAAGGTTCCTCGTCCAGCAAGTTCACCAGCATCCCGGCCTCCTTCTGGTACACCATTGTAACCATGACAACCCTGGGGTGAGTTGTATTGTCTCGGAATGACTTTCTCGGTATATTTTTACACTTTTTAACCCTAGACGCACATCAAGTCACACACCTAATACATTTCAGCTTAAAGGGATAGTTCACCTAAGTTAGGTACCCTTAATGTTACAATACTGTAATATGCATCTTTTAGGAGTAGAAAGGGTTTAAAGTTATCCCTTTAAGAGCTGTTGTATCTCTAATGGTGCAAATGTCTTTCTGACTTAAGAAAATAACAATCCAAATTTGTATGACTGCTTAACACAAAATTAGATCATTTTAAAGAATGTTTTTGTTTTTGGACTGCACTGACTTTCATAAAAACAGTTTATCAAAATATCTTCTTTTGTGTTCCACAGAATAAAGTAAGTCATGACCATTAGTAAATGATGACTTTTTGGGAGAACTATCCCTTTAAGTAGGCTTATGTACATGGTATTATAAACCAACTTAAATGAACAACTGTTTACTATACATTACACCTCATCAAGAGAGAAGACGTTTCCCTGCAGCTTGTGTATATTTTCCTTCTTTTCTGCGTTAACTGCTATTAGCATCTAAGCCTAATGACCATGGTTGCTGACTGCAGTCATGTCCCCCCAAAGCAGCGGTAGGTTTGGATTTAACTCACTGCCCCGGGCTAGACTTTATTCATCCCTATTATGCACCAATTAATATTTAAGCCTATGTGAAGCAAGCAGAGGAACATCCTTCAGCGTTTCTCCAATACACACTCAGACAGCAGCTGCAGAGCTGTTAAGCCCCATTCACTTCAACCCTGCCTCTCATAAATCACAGGCCATTTATATGTGTTCATGACTGATACACGTAGACGTTTGACACAATGGTTTTAAGAGTATGTGTAGGATTAATTTAGGCAATTAGTTTGAGTGATTATATGGTGTATAGTTGAGTAATCGGTTGCTACAGCTGTAGCTGTTGTGTCACTCTGACTTTGAAACTGGAGCTGAAGTCAAGTTTAGATGTTTAGTTTAGATGGCTGACTGCCCTTGTGCTCTGTGACCTCAAAACAAAAAGATTAAGGACTTCATTTATTGTGAACAGTAACTCATGAATGTTACATTGCCAAATGGTTTGGTCCGTGAAGAATACAGTTGTGTCGGTGTTCAGTCTAGAGTAAGAAACATGCTTATTTACACTTTTCTTTGAGAGTAGACTAATCTGTGTATATGAGGATGGCTAAACCTCTTAACAGGTCATTGTGTTGAAATATGACCTTATAGATCAACCATATTGTTGTCTCAATGTGTTGGCTAGTTTTACATGGATTTCAGAGTAGCGCAGATCTCTTTACTCATTACTACATTCGCATCAGAGATCCAGTCTCCACCCGCATCTGAGACTTGACCCGAGATGAGAGCGAGAGAGACACTTCTCATCAATAAATCACATGGTAGAAGTGTGTGTCACTGTGACTAATGTTCTCAGGTACATGTGCTGAACAATGTAAACCACAAAGTCATTTCCAACCCCGCTGATGTCATGTGTTGTCACTGCACGTGTGTGGGAGTGTTTCCCATTTAGTTCAAACCAAGGGATTATTTTTACATCCCAGATTTTGACAGTTGGTTGTGTCAGTGTAACACCTGTTGATCCTAATCTTTCTTATCTCTGCTCTTGACCAATGCAGTGGTGTGATTTACACGCCTGGTGCGTCTTTTATTCATTGATTTGTTCACACTCTCCTCGCTTTGTGCGGGACCCGGGTCTCCGGCATGGGGGGTGCTCTAACAAGGAGGTGAGGGAGGTTTACTCATACAGCTCTTACTAACTGGCCTTCGGTACACATATTAATGGGGTCTCCACCTCCCTCTGCCAGAGTAAAACGCAGCACTGCAGTTCAGCTTCACTTGTGAGACTGAGACATCAAGTTACCATGTAAAACACAGACCCACTGCCCTACAAACACATGCGTGATTCTCAGCATGTGAGCTTAGAGAACTATAGTTCCTCAGAAATATCAAGCATATATTGTGTGTGAATGGTTAATGTTCTTCTTGGCCTTGCCATATGTCTGAAGTGTTTTCCTCCTCCTCTGTATTGTTTACACCAGTAACATTTAATTTAGCTGCTCTACTGTTGAATTTCATTGCTCTGTGTTTTGTCTTGGCAAGAAAGCTAGTCTAAGAGTTGAAAATAAAGCAAAGGAGTGCAAGAGGAAAGGGAGAGTGGAAGAAAAAGTATATTGCTTGGATATTGCTCTTTCTTAGTTTAGGAGACTTCAGGTTGTGCTTTATCTTAATATCAACATGTTTCTACTAAACTTCATAGAGATAGCCTGGCAAGCCAGACCTACATCAAGATGTTAGGTCTGGGAGCTCAGAATTGGCATACCTCAATCCGAGGGGTGGGATAAACGATTGTCTTTCAATATCCCTCTGCACGCAATTGGATGGCGCTACAACCAACCGGAGCAACGAACGGCTGTGGCTGAGTGAGTCCCATGTGTTTTCCCCACCAGTGGAGCTAGTTATTATATCAAACTTCTGCAGTATCTATTCGTCAAAACTCCGAACACATCTTCCTTTTTTAAGAATGACTTAAGAGTCGCGACCAAAGCCGATTTGAAAGACTGCTGTTCGCCAGCAGCATCTTGTTTGTTTTCAAGTAGCAGGGAATCAATCACCTATGAAAATCACGGCGGAGAACCGTCACAACTCTGCCGTCATTGTGTTAAGCCCGCCCACCAACTGTATACACAATGTGATTGGCCTGACCAGAGTTTGGTTTTTCCACTTCGAAAGTCAACAGAGAGTTGTTACAACAGAGAGTTTTTGCTGCCGCTAGGGTGCGTCTAGATTTCTAGGCTATCATAGAGATGCATTGACACTAAAACTCGCTAATATATTTTGTCTAAATAAATAAATCATAAACGTGAATTTTGGCTAAATTGAAAGAATATTCATTTTGATATTTTCAGTGTTAGTATTAAAATATTAGAGTTTTTTAAAGATTACCTTCACTGTCATTTAATGTTCAAATAAATTTAATGCAAATGTTTAAATAGTGGAAATTAAAATCACAATTAAATATCCAATATGTGTAAATCAATTAATACATGAAATACATATCTAATTTTAAACCAATAACCAATGTACAGTAGTATAGATATGTCATGCATCCCTAAAATTCCTTGGGATAAATACAAGCTTTCTTCTGAAACACTAGAGAAGCCACATGTTTCTCAGAAAAAAAAAAAAAAATCAAAAAAACCTGTGATTTATTTTGTGATTTTTCTGTCCTATGGGATTAACCTTTAGCATATGAGTGAATGAGACCAAATGATTGCAAACCCGCTGTTGTGTGTTCTGCAGCGAAACATCAGATTTTGTGTTGCATAAATTCTCCAAGTGATGATTCAGTTGCAGAATGGTCCATTTGTTAATCTGGCCCTGAACACAGTACTCTAAAACAACCACACCAGATCCAGGCAGGGTTTTATCTGCATTTTAAAGCTGTTAGAGAGAGAGAGATTTTGACCATATGAGGGCAGAATCTGTTTTGAAAATACTTTGAGCTTTTACACTTGTGTTTCTGCTGTAAAAACAGGAGGCTGCAAAGGGATTGCAAATTTACTGAAGAGAGATGGGTACAGAACGAATGTTTTTTTTTTATTGATTTATTTATTTATTTGCGGTAATAAGATGGTGTTGACCTTTTGGTGGAGTAGCATATTCTAAATGACCTTTAAAGAAAAACACAAATCTCTTGTGTGCTTTAGAACACAGTGGTTTGCAAGAGAGCAATATTGCTGAAATATCATTTTCATTCACTTTCTCTCTACATATAATTCTGTATACTGCTGCCTTATTAGCCTCTAGCCCTGCAGTAGTAGTTCTATTGGTTAAGATACAGTATGCTCCCTATTTTACGGACCTATGGATTCTGCACGCTAATGTTGCTGTGAAGAAAATCACCCTTCTAATGAGGGCTTTCAATTGTTACCACAAGCATTAATTAACATGACACTGAAAATTCACGCCCCTGTTGCAAGCACTAAATAGATCCAGACTAGCCATTCGGCCCCAACACATGGCTCACTCTCTCTAGCTTCAACACTGATTCTATTGCTCTGTTGGTAGGTGAACATGCTTTGTCGATACTGATCAGAAGCATTGATTAAAGGGAACAAAGGATGAGCGAGAAGAGGATAAGGGACAGAAAGAGGAATGAGGTTGAATGCATTAGCAAGGGTGAATGATGATAATCACCCACAGCTGCAGGGTGTCAAACGGAAGCATTTCGTATTGGTAAGGCAACATTTGTCTGTGTGTGGGGGGTCACTGAGTTCACAATAGCTGTTTCTCATGACGTTTGCTGTCAGGGGTTGTGTAGGAGAAGCACAGAAAAAAAATCGGTAAAAAATCGACTTCCAGTCGCACCAAGGAGACCTTTGTGTTGGTAATGCACATGACTTGCTTTGCTGTACATGGAGATTTAAAGTTCTCAACATCATGGACTGAAGTAGATATTATGGTGAGTGTGTGTTGAAATGGATACATAGCCCACCTCTGTAGTTTAAAGGTGAAAACATGACGTTTATTTTAAATTGAACGATAGTACAATATTTTTCTTCTTTTTTTTAAATATTACTGAAATAATTAAAATAACTGATGACACACAATGTTTTAATATATGAAACATGTTTGGTTTTTTTGTCCACTTTCCTTGTATACTGTATAATCATTACAAAAGATGGCATTTATTCTTTTTAAAATGCAGTTGTACTTTTTCTTAACAAACTAATTCAGATCTAGTATATTCAAGTCTGAACCTTCACTCATTTCTAACAGAACATTTCTCAGAGACAGAACATTTCACATAATTTTGTGAACTGTATAGAAAATAGATTTACTATAAGTTTGCACCTCGCCTGTCGCCTTTCCCTAATCATCTACTGCTTCTGAAATTGCATATACACCTACTGTGTGAGTAGGTTCTACATTTGATGAAGTGCTACAAAAGTATGAATG